CGTTTCCACCTCCTCTGCATCGGCCGCCGTCGTGTAGTCTTCCTCCAACACTGCCGTTGTCATTGGATTTGCACTTCCCAAATGCAATCCTATCCCATCAGAACCATCTCTTTCCGTTGTCCCTCCTTCCGCACTTCCATTTCCCTCATGACCATCCTTCTCGAACAACACAACTGTGAGGTCATCTGTGGTGGCGCTAGCCCCTTCACCGGCTGCAACAGTACTACTGACGTCAGTATTGCTCGACCAACTATTCGTGCTCATAGCTTCAGTGGAACCTATGCCCACAGATCCAACAACTGTGGTTTCCTCTTCATCCACCCCTTTGGTAGTCTCCTGTCCCACCAGATATCCAGTGACGGGGTGGATTTCCTCCTCAGTCACAGTAGGCCTTAAATCCATACTCTCTGTGTACAATTCAGCATCCACAGTACTCCCCACGTCAGCTGTGTTTTTAAGCACACTTCCATCATCACCTTCCACCTCCTTGAGGTCATCACTTGCAGTGGTCAACTGTTTCCCAACTGCGTCGCTAATCGCGTCTTCGACAAAGGCAGCGTCGGTATGCGCCCTGTCAGTTGGTACAGGAGATTCCGGGGTTGTTATCGAAGCTTCTGCAGTCGTTTTCTCTTCCCCTGCATAGGCCTCCGTTGCGTAGTCCTCCTCCACGGCCGCCGTTGCCACTGATTTCATATCTTCAGAGAACAAGCCAGCATCTTCACTACTTGCCATTTCAATCATACTTCCAGTTACACCTCCACCTGTACTCTCTATCTCCTTGAGATCACTACTCGTAGTCTCCAGCTCATTCTCAACTGCATCACTAGTGGAACTTTCTAATGGTGCACCATTAGTGGGCTTCATGTCAGTCGGAACAGGAGATACTGAGGTTGCTCCAACACCTCTACCCGTTTCGCTCTGCCCTGTGTAAACTTCCGTTTTGTAATCGTCCTTTATGGATATTGTGGCCAATGAAGCTCCGCTTTCTGAAAGCGAACCATCATCCATCGTATTTGCCATTTTGTCCGCACTCTCACTACCTGATCCAGCCTTACTTACTACATCATTGTAGTTATCCGTTGCAGTTATTTTCTCTTCCACCGGTTGTGCCTCCGTCGTGTAGCCATCCACAGCTACTGCAGTCGTTTTATCCGCACCTGAATACAACCCAACCTCTTTACTGCTCTCCGTTTCCGAAATAATATCAGTCACGACTACTTCCTTACCTGCCACCTCAATGGTGGCATTGTTTATTTTTCCCGGGTCTTCCTCATAAGCATATGTCGAACTCTTCACCAATTCATCTTCACTAACCTCCGGATCGGTAGGAACAGGGGAATCTGGGGCTTTTCCAACATCCTTTCCAGACGTTTGCTCTTTCACTAAGTATGGCTCCGTTGTGTAGTCCTCCACCCCTGTCGCCCTAGTATTCGAATCCACGCCTTCAAAGGACGAACCGTTTTCTTCGCTACTCTCCACATTCGCTGTACTCCTCACTTCGTTCGTACTTTTACCCACCTCCATGAATTCACCCTTAGTGCTCTTCGATTCTTCATAAGTATCATTAGCCGAACCTTCAACGAGCGTACCATTAGCAAGTCCCACAAAGGTAGGAACGGGGGATTCTGAGATATTTCCAACACCACTTCTAGCCTCCGTGCCCTCCTGCGCACCATCCTGGGTTGTCTGCTGCTCAAATAGAGTCCCGTTATAAGTTTCTTCTTTTGCTTTAATTTCTGTTGCCTTATCCACCAGGTCAGTCACGTAGACAGCTGGTGTTGTAAGCGCAACTTTACTTTCTTCCCCGTACGCAGAGTAGGTGCTTCCAATACTCACCTCCGCAGACACTGTTGGGGTCACCTTACCGAGTCCCATGCTCTGCCAACTCGTAACGCCATCGGTACCATGGTGATCATCGTAATTGGTAGGTAATGCAGATGCCAGGTGGATCAGAATCAGGAGATACACCAAGTACTGTTGCATTCTAGGAAACAGGTGTCAGAATCTGTGATCACTAAATCTTGCCCATTGACATTTAAATTTTCACTTGATTTAATGGACCGGCAATATGCAAAATGGAAAATCAAAGACTGTGAAGGGAGTTGAAAACGAGTTATGCCGAGTACCAAGGATAAAGAAAAGGGCCTCCATTGTACTACGTAATAGTAAGCACTCGGTCTACGCAAGTGGAGAACTCATAGGAGCCTAAAGTCAAAAGGTGGTGTAAAGCAGCTCCGGTGTTATCTCCGCATTTTGTCACAAATTCGTGAGAATATTTCGTGACTTCAGTCTTTAAAATCAAGCACAACTTTTGTCATATAAAAAGGCGTTTACACCACATAAACACAAAAAAAGTCTATGGACAATCCGAGGTAAAGTGACTTGTAAAGGTGAATGGATGTGGGTGACAAGCCAAGTACGTTGACAGTGCGTCCGGATTAACAAGTACAAGGCGCGTGAGTAACGACTTAAGGAAAAACAAAGAGGAAAATAATAAAGCAAACGCGCAGATGACTCACGTCAACAAACAATCCCGCCCCGCGCTATACACCAGATTAAATGCAACCACTTATATAGCTGTAGCAAACAAATCTCGCCTTCCTATTGGCTGGTTGAAACAGAGGCTGAACTTTCATTGGTTAATGGATAAAAGGCATAGACGAATAGTTTTGCTACTCCTACCCATTTCTGTAATTTTCTTCTTTTTTCCGCTTTAATTGTTCAACAAATCAAAATTTTAACTATATAAAGATTTGGAAACGCCTAACTTAAAGGAGGAGGAAGTTGCGACTCAAATCATGGGTTGTTTTTTGTGTCTTTTCAGAGGTCATATTTGTTACCACCTGTCTACTCGACATGAATGAGGTCAGTGTTTGATCTTGGAGGCGATTATAATCTACGACAAGGATGCGACAGCCGGACAGGAGGGTAGTATCGACAGTCACCCGATCTTATCAACTTGAATTTTTAATTTTTAATTAATTAATCAGGCTGTCTGTTTCGGTGGTCAGTGGAAGTCACGGGATTCCACCAGAATGGACGTAAAGTGACCTTTAAGACAAATTTTCGCATTTAAAATTGAATAATAATTGGCCACGCCTAAGTGTAGGAAGAGATGTCACAGGAGTCGCAGAATTTTAAAGGGAATTTGCAGAGAATAGTCCAGTGGACGCATTTTGCTGGGCGGCGCTCCCTTCACCTACAGCGTGCATTGTTCAGTTTCAGGGAGTGGAAGTCAAAAAGTTACAGAACCTTGACTCCGACTTGTCAGCGCCTATTGTAGCTGCGTTAGTGTTGTGACAGCTACCACGTTTGCACCCACCTCAGCTATCATATGGAAAATGACTTTAGGTCAGTGTAGACCTCATCACTTATTTGCTAAGAACATAAACACCCCAGATTATAAAATTATTTATTTATTCTCTCTTTTGTGTGCAGATAAACAGACTGCTCCATGTTCGGCACAAAAAGGGAATAGTTTTGTAAAGGCTAAAAAACATTAACACATTCTCCTTGGTTTGCCTCTCCGCCCCTCGCCCTCTCTTACGTGGCAAGTGCGTCAACGTTGGTGACCCTTTGTGGAGCCACTGGTTTGTAGCAATGAAAACATTGTCTCATCGCATGTGAATGGGGCGAGATTTGGCAACATTCATACTCGTCGTATCAGGCGGTAACGCTTAAGGCGTTGAGTAAACAGCGACAACTTTGATCAGGAGGTAAAATCCAGTTTCGCCATCGTCCACCATTTTCCACTTGCAAAGCGTGGCGGGGGTAATGTAACAATGAACAACAACTGCGTGTGATTGTGGCAAGCTTTTTAATACCATTTTTGAGACCAAAATAGGTGTGATGCGTCATTGTCACTCTGGTCTGCTGACCATTAAAAAAACATTGTGCCATGGCAGTTTATTTGTTGGTCTAAGGTTCCTTGTTGGGCAATCTGATACTTGACATCTTATCAATTCTCGTTGCCCCACATCACTTCAGGCAGAGTTGTTATATTTTCTTTATTTGCAGAAAAAGCTTTTCAATAAAAATGACAATTCAAAATGCTCACGTGACTGAACCAATCAGATCTGTCGATGAAGGCTGACCCGTGAACAGGATGTCAAATGACTAAAATACATTAACGACTGTTCATATTATTAAAATCAGAAGGTTAATTTTGCTTTAGAAACGCCAAACTGCTACGAAATCCAAACTGACTCACAGATTACTGGATTCGGTAGATAAGTTGCTAAGCCTGCTTGGCAAGAAAAAACCTCCCTCTGCCAACCTCCATGGTGGACTTGAGTCCTCCTGAAGTCCTGTCATTTGTTGAGGGACGTCAAACTCTTCCACTGTCCTTTTTACAACGCCCGATTAGGTAAGTTTGGAGTGGAAATTTCGACCGTACCTAAGCAGTGTCATGCTTGAGGATAGCACGGACACTTGGCGATGCCCAGAATGGGGTGAGCACGCTTGTAATGCATTGCTCAGGAAGTTGCACTTTAATTTGCTAAATCCTTCTTTCCTAAGCGATTCAACAACTCACAAAAAGTCTCTCGGGAATGCCACTGGTAAACCCAATGTTTGGATCAAACGAACGCTTTGAAGGGAGGCTGCAATTCCTACACTTGCTAAATTCCATTTTACTATTTCGACTGATGCGGTCGCAGATGAACTCATGTTACAGAGTTGCAATGTCAACCGGATACTGTGGGGCCAACGTTAAGGCTGCAGCGACAAGAACAGCATCGATGTGACGAAATGCGTTTACACGGTCGTCAAGGCGGCCAGTGAAGAGTGAAACCAGAACAGACTCCCTCTGAAGGTCCAAGTCGCACAATTTTCCCCTCCTCATTCGTGTTCGACCTCAAATGGGAGGTGATGTGGATGTTTGAAGGAGGACGAATGCGCGTCTACTCTAAGCCCACACGTGTGACCTTTTGTTTTGGTATCAACGACATCAAAGTCTGGGCGTCACTTCCATGCACAAGCCGAGTAGCCCCAGGAGCCTCAAATCATTCCATTATGTACATTTCACATTTCATTTTAAAAGATTTTGACAATATACTTATTATTTCCCAAAATGATTACATAAATTTCTGGTTGTGCAAGTTTGTAAAGATTTCGTTCAGCATCTTGCAGTCCACCTTCTTTGAGCCATAAGCGGTTGGATTGAAGTCAAGTGGACTTCATTTAATGCCTGCGCTTAAAAAAATTCCTCTAAAGTTCCATTGTATTGCATCGTGCCGCAGTTTTAACTTCACGGTTTGTGACGCGCGCTCTCTTAATTTTGGCTTTCGGTCATTTTACACAAAAAGGCGATCCAGAAGCAAAATTATTTCTTTTTGGCATGGGAGGTAGTTTTAAGTGAAGTGGTTCTGTGGTGGATTCAAAAAGTGGATTGTAATGCTTAGAAAGACTTCCAGAGTATCTACATGGAATGAGTCAAGATCGGTAGTGGCAGTGCTTGAAAGGCCAACAGTTCTGCGTCGTCACTCAGGGGACTGAATACCAAATTCTAAATAATTGGCACGGCAGTCAGCCTTTTAGTTTTGGATCGCGAAGTACGAGTGGATTCGGTGCTTTCTTCCTCTCTCCGCTCCTCATCTTAGTAGAGTGAATGCGCCAGTCACGATGTGAGGACCCCAAAGCTTCATGACTATAAGATACGATTAGTCGTTCTACTTTCACTAATAGTGAGTGCTAGTTCACATGCGGCGGTTGTGTCGATATAAAAGAATGAGGAAAAGAATGGAGAACACAGGACCTGGGTTGTAAGGGAGACCCCAGTGCGAACGGCGAGTGGTCATAAGCTCCTGGTCTTGAGGTACAAGCAAGGCTCCGCATGTCTTTTTTGCAAGGGCGATGAGGATGCACAAGCCGTGGCGGCTGTAAATTACGTCCTGTCTATCAGTGGATGTATTTGGACCCTCCGATCGCTCCTCAAACACTAAAAAGAAAGATTTGTGGAAAGGTGGAGCCTCACCTCCTCAACATGGTGCTTCTTGATGCTTACAGTTATTCAGCTACATCGCCAGGACAATGAACCGCATTTTCCAGACAAGCACCTCTATGATGTTGGCTGAGGTGTGGCATAATTGTTGGCAAAGACAAATTTACTTTAATTTCATAGTTCTGGGGTTTAAGTGTACTGTGACCTTAACTTTCTAAGTCTGTTGGAAAGCCAAATTGCGTAATACTGGAAAGGAGATGTACGTGGTGTGCTGAGGGTACAGGTATTTACAAGACGAAGATCAGACATGCATGGGTGCCGCGTCAGAATCAATAGGCTTTATACGA